AAGGTATTTGAGGCAGTAGATCATAATAAAGAATACAATTAATTTATTTCTACAGCATATGATACAACTTATACAGACCTAGTAGTAAATAAGTACCTGGGTGTTAGCCAACGGGGCTAACCCCCAGGTACCTTTTTTACTCTAGGTGAACAGGGACAGCAGGTGTCTTAAGGAAACACTCCCAGATGTTTCCACTTGTACCAAGGATTGAACCACGGATCTCAGTTTGTGAGATGAGTGCATTACCGACGAGCTACAGGACACAGGATTGTATCATGGACTTTAGTAAGGCCTTTGATAGAGTTCTGTACAGGGACTGTTGAAGAAAATAATGGTACTGGTATAAGAGGAACAATTATAGCTGGCACAGGCAACTCCAGGGAAGTGTCTAACAACTTGTTCGGGTTTTCAAAGAAGGGCATGAAGAACTTGCATAACTTCTTGGCTTCCAATGCCTCCAATTTTCGTCTCTTCTGTCCTTCAGCTCCATTTTCCCTTTTTTTTGTGAAGAAATTTTTTCAGTGCCTTACACAATGTTCTGAAGTAAGGGAAATAGTACTTTTAATAAGAATATTAAACTTCATAGATTTTGCACAAAATTCTAGACTACCTTCCTAGTTGGTGCAGGAGAAGGGTTTTTTACTGTCAGTTGACAGTGAGCAGTGGTACTTAGGTATGGGGTTTCATGTAGCTCCCAGCACTGTTATTTTTACCTAATACAGCCTCTCCTCCCCTTAACGATGGATTTCCCTTTCCCTAAGACCACGTCGTTAAATTGAATTCATCGCTTAGTGAGGAGCGTACTATAATGGTGGGGTTTGTGTAAACCATCTTTGATATTGTTTTAAATTTGTCCCCTATGCACCATTTTTTAAACATTCCTGGTATATTTTTAAGTGTTTATACAGTAGTTTTACTGTATATGAAATAAACGAATAGAGGAATCAGCTCTAATCCACACTATTCAGGTATAAATACTGGCCCGAGAGCCCATCGTAAGTCTGAGGCATCAGTAAACGAGTACGCTGCTAAATGAGGAAAGGCTGTAATTTATATAAGTGGTTTAACAATCTAGCTACCTAGTGCTTCTCACCCGATAATAAAAAGACATCATACACCTGAAAAAAAATTTTTGTTTTTCACTTCCAAGGATGGCTTGTCTGACTTTAATAGAAACGCTCAGTGGTCCCCCCCCTTCAAGTGGCCCCCAGGGCATGTACCATACCTGCCTTTACCTTAGGTACACCACTGCTACCCTTTACATCAGTTCGGGTGCAATGTTCTTGATTTTTAAATGAAAGAAATAAAATCATTTTAATTTTTAAATAAAAGCCAGGAAAAATACTTTTTTCTGTTACTAAATTGTTATGTTCTAAATCAATCTTACTTAACCCCTAAACGGTCCAAACATATATATACGCTCTTACCGCTAGAGCCCCAAAAGTATATACAGTGGACCCCCGACTTACAGCGTCCTCAACCCTACGTTTAAAAACTGACTTACGATTTTTGGGTCAGGGGTAAAAAATTTGACCACGACATACGTTGAAAAAACTCGACTTACATCATTCATCCCATACACGTCCACATGTCTGTCTGGCCTGAGCACCTCACCTGAGCTAGTGTGACATTGTTTACAAGCCAGGGCGACACGGTTGCACGCATACATTCGATAAATTTTGTACTTTCCAGTGTTTTTAGTGCTTGTAACTGCTAAATAAGCCCATGGGCCCAAAGAAAGGTTCTAGTCCCAAACCCCTGTGGTAAAAAGGGTGGAGAAATACTATGAAATACTATCGTACCATGGTCAGCTGCTGCTGCACCATGGTCAGCTGCTGCTGCTGCTGCTGTAGCACCATCAGCTGCTGCTGCACCACGATCAGCTGCTACGGCACCATGGTCAGCTGTACTCACCTAGTTGTACTCACTTAGTTGTGGTTGCAGGGGTCGAAGATGTGGAGAGACTGTTATTGGCGTGGCTTATCGAGAATACCGAGAAAAAATTAACCCCAGAGGGTTAGCCCCCCCAGGATAACCCAAGAAAGTCATGTGTCATCAAGGACTGTCTAAATTATTTCCATTGGGGTCCTTATCTTTCCTCCAGGATGCGACCCACACCACCCGACTAACACCAAGGTGAACAGGAAAAAATGCCGGGAAAACTAGTGTCATATTGGTGAATTTAACCCTTAGGGGATCGACAGGTCCCCCTCAGAGACTTGTTCTCAGGGTCGGCCAAATTTAAAAAAAAAAAAATATTTTTTCTTATGAAAAGATAGAAAAATTTTTTCCAGATCGTAATGACACCAAAAGTATGAAATTTGATGGAAAACTTATGGAATTATGCTCTTGCGAAGTTAGCGGTCTCGACGATGTTTAGCATCGGCGATTTTGCCCACTTTGAGCCCATTTTCGGCCAATTCCAGTGTACTAGTCGACAAAAAATCGTAACTATTTAGCTAGAACTCCATTTTTTCTATCGAATGAGTACAAGAAACAACCCATTTACCGATTTCAACTATCTAATAAAGTGGTCAGAATTTAGCAATTTTGCCAATTTCACACAAATTTCAAAAGATGCCAATTTCCGAATAGGGTCCAGAATAAACAAGAAAGACATTCCTGACACTAAAATAACAAGTTCTCTGTTCGTTAGTCACATCCCCAGGCCCCTCTTATATTTCTTTGGCTTTCCACTTTGAATTTTTATTCTTACAAAAAAAAAAAAATAAGATTTACTGTTATGCAAACTACTGCATTAGTGTAGAAATGGTATAAATAATATCAGCGCACTTGTGAAAGAATGTTAGACTCGCCAGTTGATATGTATTGAACGCTTGGTATGATCTGTTTACTTTTGAACTTTGGTAAAAATCGAACATTTCTGCTACTTTGAGCTCAATTTCAAGGTACTTTTCATTATAAAACCAGTCAAAATCATCTCAATTTCTTTAATATGTCTTCCATTCTATAAAATGAGACCAAGAAAACTAGAATACAACAATAAATACCATACGAAAATACAGTGCAAAGTCGCTGTTTTAATCCAAAAACACGGTCAAAGTTTTTTTTTTCTCATTACGCACTGTGTGCTGCAGGATTTTTTTTATACTGCGCACACTGACCACATAGACCCATTCTTTCATATGTAGGCCTACCAGCTTTCTCTCACTAGATTTCAGGGCGCTAGAATTTAGGCGTACTAGTACGTCAAAAACCCTGGGTCATAAGATGTACTAGTACGTCCGAAACTCCCAAAGGGTTAAGGCCAGCAAAGGTTGGTTTGAGAGATTTGAGAATCATAGTGGCATACACAGTGTGATAAGGCCTGTTCTGGAAGAAAATGCCGAACAGGATCTACATTACTCAGGAGGAAAAGGCACTCCCAGGACACAGTGTCTCATCACTCATCACTACATCTTCAATAAAGGTAAGTGTTATTATTCTTCATTTAGTACACTAGTACAGATGGGAAGCATTTGATGGCTTCTCTTAGGCTTTGAACAGCTATCATCATCACAACTTGTGCACTATGGGGTTATTATTAACCAAAATTATGGGTTATTTTTGGGCCACGGTAAACCCTGGATAACTGAAACAGTGGATGTACATGCACAATATATATTGTGCATGTATCCTCCTTTTTGTGTGTAGGAAAAAGTATATTTCATATGGTAAAATTTTTTTTTTCATACTTTTGGGTATCTTGAACGGATTAATTTGATTTCCATTATTTCTTATGGGGAAAATTAATTCGACTTACAATAATTTCGTCTTATGATGTGCTCTCAGGAATGGATTAATATCGTAAGTTGGGGGTCCACTGTATATGTTTTATTTTTCCTGCCTCCAAATTTGGCACGATTGGCCTGAGATGGCTGGTCAGCATAGAATGGGTCTTAATATTCAGTGTGCACCATATTAAAAACACCTGGGACCACTTAGTACTTTGTGGGAGTGCCAGTTAAACTGAGCACCAGCTAGAGCAAACAGTGTGGCAAACACCAAGGATTCACTGATATAATGTCATATTAACACTCCCCGTTTAAGAGGAAAGTAATGCTAACCCCAAGTTTAGGGTCCGTCTGTCTGTCTCTGTCTGTCTCTGTCTATCTTTGTCTATCTCTGTCTATCTCTATCTCTCTCTGTCTCTATCTCTTTTTATCTGTCTCACAGGTACACACAAATACAGTTATACATAGTGTAAATCCGAAGTGCTATACTGTGCTTGTAGGTATAATGCATAAGAATACCTGTTGGTTCACAGTGGCTCTCTCTGAGACAGAGAGACAAGCAGAGACAGAAAGAGACAAACGGACAGAGAGACAAGACAGAGAGACAGATAATCAGAGACAGAGATAGGAGCTCATCAAATGTCACCCCTTATCTTATCTCTGCACCCTTGCTGGCACCCATCAAATGTCATCCCTTATCTCATCTTATCACTGCCCTCCCGGATGCTTGTCACTAACACTTGTCTTATACATTGCTTCAAGGGAACTTCTTTCTTCTTCTTTCTTCTTCTTCATTCTTCTTCTTCATTCTTCTTCATTCTTCTTCCTTCTTCTTCTTCTATACTCCTGTGTATCCAAAACATTGTTGGGACCTATAAATACTTTGTATATATTCCTAGACAATAGTAAATGACCAAGGCAGGTGTAAATGTCCACCTATCAATATGTTTGTGACAATTTGAGTACAATGTCACTAACTAATATTAGTGTCAGAACAAAGACTGGTTATGAAATGACAAGAACTACAATAAATTGTAACTATCAGAACATAAACATTACATAAAATAATATAAAAATGAGAAAAAAAAAGGTATATACGTTTGGACCGTTTAGGGGTTAATATATGGAATCAACATACTGATAATAATGGACACAGACATTTCCCTTAATAGCAGAAAATCATTATTTTATTGTGATACATGTTGCATTATATACACCGAAAACTAAATGTGCCTTGTATATTCTCATTAGGTAAATTTCTTTCAGAAATGTCTGCAACGGGCTTAGTGTTGGCAAGAGGAGGCAGCAAGGGTATTAAAAACAAGAACATTGTCCTTCTCAATAGTCGACCGTTGTTGCTGAGATGCCTTCAAGTTATGCATGAGGCAGGCTGTAAGCATTTATGAACTTATTTTATTTACTGGACTCAAGAACAGAGTGCTTGAGGTATGTATAGTACTGATGCTTATGAACAGTGCACAAAGTATGGTACTGAACGTGTATGAACAGTCCATGAGGTATGGTACTGGATGTATATGAGCAGTGTATGAGGTATATGTAGTACTGGACACTTCATAATAATAATAATAATAATAATACAGTGGAACCTCTGCTTACAAACGCTCCAGCATGCAAATTTTTTAGGATATGAACCGTCGTTCGGTTGAGTGGTGACGTGTACTTAGCTCTGTGAAGACCTGTTTGTGTGCTCTCTGTGAATCTGAACCAAGATGCCCTCTCTTGAGCAACTTTACCAGCAGCTGAAAGAAGAGCTTAGGGTTGCTAAGCAGGAGATTCGGCGATTAACGGAGGAGAACAAGAGGATTCGAAGTAATCCTCCTGTTGTAAGTCCCCAGGTTAAGAGGGGAGCTTGGTCAGTGGCCGGGGAACATGGAACCAAACTGAGGATCAAGAAGACTGTTGGAGAGGCAGAAACAATGAGGACCCAGAAGACTGCTGTGGAAACTTCCAACCCATTTTCGGTGCTACCTGACAAATGTGGGTGTTCTACTGGGAATGTCACAACGAGCACCAAGGAAGCATTGGCTGACGTGAGTGAGATATCCCTGGAAACCCCAACGAAAACCATTGAGAATGTCTTGACGAATTCCACAAGTGAAGGTGTAGTGCTACCTAACGAATGTGAGTCGACTACTGGGAACATCACGACGGACGTCGCCAAGGAAGGTAAAACCATTGTTGTTGTTGGGGATAGCCAGATTAGGTACATGGATAGGGCATTCTGCTTGAAGGATAGGAGTAGGAGGCAGAGAGTGTGTTTTCCTGGGGCTGGGATGAAGGATATTGTTAGCCGTCTGGATGACATCATGAGAGGTAATGGGAGCAATCCTATTATCTGTCTCAGTGCTGGAGGCAACGATGTTGGCAGACGTAGGAGTGAGGACCTGATTAGCAGGTATAGGTCAGCAATAGAGATAATTAGGAGGAAGGGTGGGAACCCTGTCATATGTGGTATTTTGCCAAGGAGAGGAGTTGGAAATGAATGGTTGTCCAGAGCAATTGGTGTCAATGGCTGGCTGGACAAATACTGTAAGGAAAATGTGGTAACATTCATTGACAACTGGGACCTCTTCTATGGCAGAAATGACATGCATGCCAGGGATGGGGTTCACTTATCTAGGTGTGGGGTGGGAGCACTGGCCAATGCAGTGGAGGGAGCTGTTAGGTCTTTAAACTAGGAATAGTTAGTGGTATGGGTTTTGGCGGGAAAACAGTGAAGTCGCAGTGTAGTAATATGAATACTAGGAGAACTAGTAATAGGCAAAATGAGGTGGATATTGGAAAGCCAGTGGCACTAATTGACAAGGACAGTAATAGGTTTAGTGGAATAACAGAAAGGAGCAGGAAGGTTAAAGAGAAAGGAGGGTCTTTAAATATATATTACACAAATAGTCGTAGTGCTAGGAATAAGATGGACGAGTTGAGACTAGTTGCTAGTGCAGGTAACATTGATGTATTTGCCATAACTGAGACGTGGTTTAATTCAAAAAGTCGGGACATGCCTGCGGAATGTCACATTCAGGGTTTTAAATTGTTCCAAGTAGATACAAGTATCGGGAAGGGGGGTGGGGTGGTATTGTATGTCCGAGATCGCTTGAACTGTTGCATAAAAACGGGTATTAAGTCTGAAGTAACACATACAGAGTCTGTTTGGATAGAATTTTCAGAGGGCATGAAAAATTGATTTTAGGAGTGATATACCGTCCCCCAAACTTAGATAGGGACCAGGGGAGACTACTATGGGAGGAAATTGTTAGGGCCACAAGGCACGATAATATAGTAATTCTAGGAGACTTTAACTTTAGTCATATTGGTTGGAATTTCTTGACTGGGAATTTAGAATCAAACGACTTCTTAGAAGTAGTTCAGGATTGTTTTTTGAAGCAGTTTGTGACAGAACCTACAAGGGGTAATAACCTGCTTGACTTAGTTCTGGCAAACAATGAATCCCTTGTTAATAATTTACAAATTTCAGAGGAACTGGGTGCTAGCGACCACAAATCAATTACATTTAGCATTGAATGGAAGTATGATAGTAGGGATAACTCAGTAACAGTCCCAGATTTTCGCTTAGCAGATTACGATGGGCTTAGAGAACATTTTATCATCTGTTGACTGGAGTAATGAAGAGAGCTATCAATATGACATTTTTTCTGAACACTATAGTACATGCTGCTCAAAGAACGTTTATCCCGTATAAAGAAATTAGATCAAATAGAAATGACCCAAAATGGATGAATAATAGGCTGAAATATCTACTAGGGCATAAGAAAGGAATTTATAGGCATATAAAAGAGGTGAGGGTCATTTATGAATCAGTATATTGACATTAAGAGGGACATTAAAAAGGGAATAAGAAAAGCTAAAAGGGACAAATGAAATTAAAGTTGCTAGGGATTCTAAAAACTAACCCAAAAAGTTTTTTCCAGGTCTATAGGACAAAAGTTAGAGATAAGATAGGTCCCCTTAAAAAATAACTGTGGGTTTTTACTGACGAGAGAATGAAATGTGCTCGATTTTAAATAATTATTTTCTCTCGGTTTTTACACAGGAAGCACTAAAATATTCCAGTAATTAATTTTTATAGTGGGCCAGAAGAAAATAAATTATGTAACATCACAGTCACTAGTGAAATGGTTGTGAAGCAGATAGACTGACTGAAGCAAAGTAAGTCGCCGGGTCCTGATGAGGTTTTTTCAAGGGTTCTTAAGGAATGCAAAATGGAACTCTGTGAACCATTAACTAATATTTTTAATTTATCTCTTCAAACAGGTGTAGTGTCTGACATGTGGAAGATGGCTAATGTAATTCCTATTTTTAAAACAGGGGACAAGTCGTTACCGTCAAATTACCTCCCCCAATAAGCCTGACCTCAATTGTAAGCAAATTACTAGAGTAAATTATAGCTGAGTTATAAAGAAGCCATCTCGATAAGCATTGCTTGATTAATGATACTCAGCATGGATTCACAAGAGGCCGGTCTTGCCCTAACTAATTTATTAACTTTCTTCAGTAAACTTTTGAGGTGTTGACCACGATAAAAATTTGATATTGTTTACTTAGATTTTAGTAAGGCTTTTGATAGAGTTCCGCACCAAAGACTGTTAAAGAAAGTGGCAGCTCATGGCATTGGGGAAGGGTGCTCTCGTGGATCAAATCATGGGTCACTGACAGGAAACAGAGAGTGTCCATAAATGGGGTTAAATCCGAGTGGGGGTCTGTAACAAGTGGGTTCCACAGGGATCAGTCTTTGGGGCCCCTTGTTGTTTATAATATATACCAATTTATCCCTTTAAGAAGGAATTACTAGTGATATGAGCAAATTCGCCGATGACACAAAGAAGGATAATTGAGTCAAACGTAGATGTTAGGGAAATTCAGGAGGATTTAGACAAACTCTTTTTCTTGGTCAGAAAAGTGGCAGATGCAGTTCAATGTAGATAAATCAAGGTTCTGAAGCTCGGGAGTGTCCAAAACCCTAGCACTTATAAGTTAAATAATGTAGAACTTTTGCCATACAGATTGCGAAAAAGGACTTGGGGGTTATGGTTTAGCAGCAACCTTAAACCAAGACAGCAGTGCCCAAGCGTACGTAATAAGGCAAATTAGAATTACTGGGAAATTTTTATCAAGAAGTGTAAGCAACAGAAGTCCAGAGGTCATACTGCAGCTTTATGCATCATTAGTAAGGCTTCACCTAGATTATGCAGCTCAATTTTTGGTCTCCATATTAGAGAATGAACATAAATTCGTTAGAAAAACATTCAGTGTAGGATGACTAAATTAATACATAGCATTAGAAATCTTCCTTATGAAGAAAGATTGAAGACTCTTAAATTTCATTCACTTATTAACGAAGAATGGGGGGAGACCTGTTTGAAGTCTATACCTGGAGTTTACCTGGAGAGAGTTCCGGGGTCAACGCCCTCACGGCCCGGTCTGGGACCAGGCCTCCTGGTGGATCAGAGCTGATCAACCAGGCTGTTACTGCTGGCTGCACGCAAAAACCCAAAGTATGAGCCACAGCCCGGCTGGTCAGGAACCGACTTTAGGTGCTTGTCCAGTGCCAGCTTGAAGACTGCCAGGGGTCTGTTGGTAATCCCCCTTATGTATGCTGGGAGGCAGTTGAACAGTCTCGGGCCCCTGACACTTATTGTATGGTCTCTTAAAAGTGCTAGTGACACCCCCGCTTTTCATTGGGGGGATGTTGCATCGTCTGCCAATTCTTTTGCTTTCATAGTGAGGATTTTCGTGTGCAAGTTCGGTACTAGTCCCTCTAGGATTTTCCAGGTGTATATAATCATGTCAGCCACAGCCCGTGTTTCCTTTGCAGAGACACCCGAATCTGCATGACAGTGTCTTCCATTGCAGACAACTGCAAGGCTCCAGGCGGGGCATCAACCCAAAACTTTCAGTGGGGTGCAGAAAACAATATGAAGTTCAACGATGAGAAATTTCAATTACTCAGATATGGTAAAAAACGAGGAAATTAAATCTTCATCAGAGTACAAAAAAAAATTCGGCCAAAAAAATAGAGCGAAAAAACCAACATCAAAGACCTGGGAGTGATCATGTCAGGGTCTCACCTTTTAAAGGGCCCATTTT